TGAGGACCCGGATTGTTGTTGGGGGCAATATGCTGACTCTGTAAACCACTTAGAGAGGGCTGAAAGCCCTATGAAGCGGTATATAAGTCTAACTGTTACTGCTATTGCTACTAATTTAGACCCAAGGCCCTGCATGTTCTATCTGCAAAGCGACAAAAAGGATCTAACCCTATCCTGGAGAACCTCTAAAAATCTCATTATTTCTCATTAGAGGACTGACAAATTTGACCTGAAATGGATCAACCTGAATTCATAACCAGAATGAAAGCATTTTATTTATATAATGGTTTTGCAAAACAGGACAGAATTCCTTTAAGTTACAATAAAAAGTAAAGGTTCCCTCCACACATACGTGCTAGTCGTTCCCGGCTCTAGGGGGTGGTGCTCATCTCCAAAGCCAAAGAGCCAGCGCTGTCTGAAGACATCTCCGTGGTCATGTGGTCGGCAAGACTAAATGCCAAAGGCCCACGGAGCACTGTTACCTTCCTACCAAAGGTGGTTCCTATTTTTCTACTTGCATTTTTACATGTTTTCGATCTGCAAGGTTGGCAGAAGCTGGAGCAAGTAATGGGAGCTCACTCCGTTACGTGGCACTAGGGATTCGAACCACTGAACTGCTGACCTTTCTGATTGACAAGCTCAGTTCTTAGCCACTGAGCCACCGTGTCCCTCTTAAGCTACAGTAAGAAATTTTAAAAAAAAGTTGTGCATTCTTAAGAATTGTTTACATTCCCAGCCATTCGATCTGGCACACTTGGGATGCTCATTTACAACCCATGGAGACTTACCCTATCACCGGGGTCACCAGGAGGACCAATGGGGCCTTGCATACCAGAGGGGCCCGAAAGACCCTATAAATAAACATAATATGTATATTAATTATCTTAAATATTTTTTATGACAATGATTAAGAGCAATTTTGATCAAGGACGGCAGAATATGTCAGCTAGTAATGGAGGCCCAACAGAAACAAAAACATACAATTAGCTAAACAACACTATTTCCAGATGGAACAATCTGTACTCATTGGAAATTTTGGTTATATACATATGAGACCCGAATTAGCCATGCAACTATCTTTGTTAATAGTATCAATAATTTTATTCAAATTATATTTAGAAAGCTGTTGTGGCCCAGCAGGAGCCGTTGGAGCTGCCACCAGACTCCGACAGTGAGGGGCCCTCTGAGTCGGCCCTGGAGGATGTGGAGGACCCTGGCCAGGCTTCCGGCTCTGAGCAGGACGCAGAGAGACTGGTTGGCCACCAGGTGGCACCTGAGCCTTGGATCAGTG